ACATACACCTCTGTAGAACCCCTACACATCTGTATAACCACATACACCCCTGCAGAACCATACACCTCTCTAGAACCACATACAACCCTGTAGGAAACCACATACACCTCAGGAACCACATACACCTCTGTAGAACCACATACACCTCTGTAGAACCCCATACACATCTGAGAATCCACATACACCTGCAGAACCACATACACTTTTCTAGAACCCCATACACATCTAGAACCACATCACCTTTCAGAACCCCATACACATCTGTATAACCACATACACCTGCAGAACCACATACACCTCTGTAGAACCACACATACACCCTGTAGAACCACATACACCTCTGTAGAACCACATACACCTCTGTAGAACCACATACACCTCTGTAGAATCTCATACACCCCTTTGTAGAGCCCCATACACCTCTGTAGAACCCCATACATATCTAGAACCACATACACTCTGTAGAACCACATACACCTCTGTAGAATCCCATACACCCCTTTGTAGAGCCCCATACACCTCTGTAGAGCCCCATACACCTTTGAGAACCACATACACCCTCGTAGAACCCCATACACCCCTTGTAGAGCCCCATACAATCTGTAGAACCACATACACCTCTGTAGAACCACATACACACCTCTGTAGAACCCTACACCCTTGTAGAGCCCCCATACCCTTGTAGGAGCCCCATACACCCTGTAGAACCCCATACACCCCTGTAGAACCACATACACCCCTGTAGAACCACATACACTCTCTGGGGAACCCCATACACCCCTGAGAACCCCATACACCCCTTGTAGAGCCTCATACACCCCTGTAGGAACCCCATACACCCCTTAGAGCCCCATACACCCTTTGTAGAGCCCCATACACCTTAGAGCCCCATACACTTTCGTAAGAACCCCATACACCCCTTGTAGACCCGTATACATTGCTATAAGTGCCTCTAGCCCACTCTCACACCTTGACAATCCGCCACAATAAATAAAACTCTTAATAAACACAAATACCTGAAGGCCGACCACACCCTCGAGTAATTACCTTTATCTTAATTGATCTTAGATAATTCTTCACTAATATGTCATGTAATTAAGGTTCTTTATTATTTACCTGCGAGTTGACGCACCTGAACTGATGTGTGTGTGTGTCATGAACTGGCAATACCACTAAGGGAGACAAGCACATAGGTGAGGTGGTGTGGTGTGGTGGTGTGGTGTGGTGTGGTGTGGTGGTGGAGGTGTGTGGTGTGGTGTGGTGTGGGTGATGTGTTGTGTTGTGGTGTGGTGTGGTGTGGTGTGGTGTGATGTGGTGTGGTGTGGTGTGTGGTGTGTTGTGGTGTGTTGTGGTGGTGTGTGGTGTGTGGTGTGTTGTGGTGTGGTGTGGTGTGGTGTGTGGTGTGGTGTGGTGTGGTGTGTTGTGGTGTGGTGTGGTGTGTTGTGGTGTGGTGTGGTGTGTTGTGGTGTGGTGTGTGGTGTGTGGTGTGGTGGGTGGTGTGTTGTGGTGTGGTGTGTGGTGTGGTGGTGGTGTGTTGTGGTGTGGTGTGTTGTGGTGTGGTGTGTGGTGTGATGTGGTGTGTTGTGGTGTGTTGTAGTGTGGTGTGGTGTGGTGTGGTGTGGTGGTGGTGTTGTGGTGTGGTGTGGTGTGTTGTGGTGTGTTGTGGTGTGGTGTGGTGTGTTGTGGTGGTGTGTTGTAGTGTGGTGTGTTGTGGTGTGTTGTGGTGTGGTGTGGTGTGTTGTGGTGTGTTGTGTGTTGTGGTGTGTTGTGGTGTGGTGTGGTGTGTTGGGTGTGTTGTGGTGTGTTGTGGTGTGGTGTGGTGTGTTGTGGTGTGGTGTGGTGTGGTGTGGTGTGGTGTGGTGTGGTGTGGTGTGTGTTGTGTTGTGGTGTGGTGTGTGTGTTGTGGTGTGGTGTGGTGTGTTGTGGTGTGGTGGTGTGATGTGTTGTGGTGTGGTGTGTTGTGGTGTGGTGGTGATGTGGTGGTTGTGGTGGTGTGTTGTGGTGTGGGTGTGTTGTGGTGTGGTGTGGTGTGGTGTGGTGTGGTGTGGTGTGGTGTGGTGGTGTGGTGTGGTGTGGTGTGTGGTGTGGTGTGGTGTGATGTGTTGTGGTGTGGTGTGTTGTGGTGTGGTGTGGTGTGGTGTGGTGGTGTGGTGTGGTGTGAGTGTGTTGTGTTGTGGTGTGGTGTGTGTTGTGTGTGATGTGGTTGTGTTGTGGTGTGATGTGTTGTGGTGTGGGTGGTGTTGTGGTGGTGTGTTGTGGTGTGGTGTGGTGGTGTGGTGTGGTGTGGTGTGGTGTGTTGTGGTGTGGTGGTGTGTTGTGGTGATGTGTTGTGGTGTGGTGTGTGTTGTGGTGGGTGGGTGTTGTGGTGTGGTGTGGTGTGGTGTGGTGTGGTGGTGGTGTGGTGTGTTGTGTTGTGGTGTGGTGTGGTGTTGTGGTGTGGTGTGTTGTGGTGTGGTGTGGTGTGGTGTGGTGTGGTGGTGTGGTGTGGTGGTGTGGTGTGGTGGTGTGATGTGGTTGTGGTGTGTGTGTTGTGGTGTGGTGTGGTGTGGTGTGGTGTGGTGTGGTGTGGTGTGGTGTGGTGTGGTGTGGTTGTGGTGTGGTGTGGGGTGTGGTGTGGGTTGTGTTTGTGTTGTGGTGTGGTGTGTTGTGGTGTGTTGTGTTGTGTTGTGGTGTGGTGTGGTGTGGTGTGGTGTGGTGTGGTGTGGTTTAAAAAGTGGTATCGTTCTTTTCATGCCCAACAGATGGCGCCAGTACTGCCCTCTGTCACCCAACAGACGGTGCCAGTACTGTCTTGTTTCACCCAACAGACGGTGCCATACTGTCCTTATTTCACCCAACAGATGGTGCCAGTACTGTCCTTGTTTCAACAGACAAGTGCCAGTACTGTCCTTGTTTCACCCAACAGATGGTGCCAGTACTGTCCTTGTTTCACCCAACAGACGGTGCCAGTACTGTCCTGTTTCACCCAACAGATGGTGCCAGTACTGTCCTTGTTTCACCCAACAGACGGTGCCAGTACTGTCATGTTTCACCAGGTGCCAGTACTGTCCTTGTTTACCCAACAGACGGTGCCAGTACTGTCTTGTTTCACCCAACAGACTCATATCTGTCTTGTTTCACCCAACAGATGGTGCCAGTACTGTCATGTTTCACGTACTAATTAGTGTCAGAAATAAAGGTGTTACTCTTCATCCCACCTCCAGTTACTATACCAGACCTACCTGCTACCTACACCTACACACCTACACCTACCTTTCACACCTACACCTACGCTACACACCTACACCTACGCTATACCTCACACCACGCTACTATGTAAGCTACACCCACACACCTGCACACTACACCTACACAACACTACACACACCTACTACACCTACACCTACCTACACTACACACCTACACTACCTATGCCAGCTACCAACTACACCTACACCCCTACACCTACACCTACTTCTACTACACTACACCTTACGCAAGCCTGCACCTACACACACCTGCACCTGCACCTGCACTACGCTACACACACCACTACGCTACACTACACATCTCACCTACATACACCTACACCTACACTACACCAGCACTACACACCTACACCTACGCTACACACACCTACACCTACACTACACTACACCCCACGCTACACCTGCCTACGCTACCTACGCTTAACACATAACACACCTACACCTACACTACACACACACTACACCTACACACCTACACTACACCTACCTACACACACACACCTACTGCTACACCACACCTACCCTATACCCTACACCTACATCTGCTACACCTCCACACGGTCGTCTGTTTGCCTCTTCTACAGTTTCCGGATCCTGGAATTATACAGTTTATTTCACCTAAGACCTGAAGCTATCTCGGAGCGTTAGGTTAGGTTAGGTTGGATTAGGTGGAATTAGAGTGGAGTTAATCTAAATGTGAAACTAAACTAGGGTGTCTAATTGTCCATGACTCTAATTTCTCTCACACATCAGCATAACGACCACCTCCCCCCGCTGGTAAAATGTTACTATTTCAACAGTTAAGGTAAAACTAAACAGTCAATAATAATGTCAACAAATGATCTTCGTCACAAGAGGACAGCCGTTAACCTGCTCTCATGATCAACATCATCAATCAGCTGTGTGTAGGCATCACTAATAATATTTACGCTAAACAACTATATCAATTCATCCCGCTCTAACTTGTCGTGTCAAACAGTTAATAAATACTTTGTGAATTATGTAATGAGATTTTTAATAAACAATGTGTAAATATAAATTGAGTAAAAAAAAAATTTCTTCACCGAAATATTGGAACAGATTGTGGGAGGTGGTGGTGGAGTTCTTTTACGGGCAGGGTGGATATAGCACACTGTAGAACAATACTTATTTTTCGGTTCACAATACTAAATACAAGGAAGGTGTCGCGGAGGGGTGCAGTATGTAACTAGCAGTAACCCCCAGCACCGTCTAGGATGGGGACACCGTCTAGGATGGGGACACCGTCGGATGGGGACACCGTCTAGGATGGGGACACCGTTTAGGATGGGGACACCGTCTAGGATGGGACACCATCTAGGATGGGGACACCGTCTGGGATGGGGACACAGTCTAGGATGGGGACACCATCTAGGATGGGGACAACTGTCTGGGATGGGGACACCATCTGGGATGGGGACACCGTCTAGGATGGGGAACACCGTCTGGGATGGGGACACACCGTTTGGGATGGGGACACCATCTAGGATGGGGACAACCGTCTAGGATGGGGACACCATCTGGGATGGGGACACCGTCTAGGATGGGGACACCGTCTAGGATGGGAACACCGTCTGGGATGGGGACACCGTCTGGGATGGGGACACCATCTGGGATGGGGACACCATCTGGGATGGGACACCATCTGGGATGGGGACACCGTCTAGGATGGGGCACCGTCTAGGATGGGGACACCGTCTGGGATGGGGACACCGTCTGGGATGGGGACACCGTTTAGGATGGGGACACCATCTGGGATGGGGACAACCGTCTAGGATGGGGACACCGTCTAGGATGGGGACACCGTCTGGGATGGGGACAACCGTCTGGGATGGGGACACCGTCTGGGATGGGGACACCGTCTGGGATGGGGACACCGTCTGGGATGGGGACACCGTCTGGGATGGGGACACCATCTGGGATGGGGACACCGTCTAGGATGGGACACCGTCTGGGGTGGGGACAACCGTCTGGGATGGGGACACCATCTGGGATGGGGCAACCGTCTGGGATGGGGACACCATCTGGGATGGGACACCATCTGGGATGGGGACACCATCTAGGATGGGGACAACCGTCTAGGATGGGGACACCGTCTAGGATGGGGACACCGTCTAGGGTGGGAACTGTCTGGGATGGGGACACCATCTGGGATGGGACACCATCGGGATGGGGACACCATCTGGGATGGGGACAACCGTCTAGGATGGGGGACACCGTCTGGGATGGGGCACACCGTTTAGGATGGGGACACCGTCTGGGATGGGGACAATCTCGAGGATGGGGACACCGTCTAGGATGGGGACACCGTCTAGGATGGGGACACCATCTAGGATGGGGACACCGTCTAGGATGGGGACCGTCTAGGATGGGGACACCGTCTGGGATGGGGACACCATCTGGGATGGGGACACCGTTTGGGATGGGGACACCATCTGGGATGGGGACACCATCTAGGATGGGGACACCATCTGGGATGGGGACACCGTCTGGGATGGGGACACCGTCTGGATGGGGACACCGTCTAGGATGGGGACACCGTTTAGGATGGGGACACCATCTGGATGGGGACAACCGTCTGGGATGGGGACACCATCTGGGATGGGGACAGTCTGGGATGGGGACACCGTTTGGGATGGGGACACCATCTAGGATGGGGACAACCGTCTAGGATGGGGACACCGTCTGGGATGGGGACACCGTCTAGGATGGACACCATCTGGGATGGGGACAACTGTCAGGATGGGGACACCGTCAAGGATGGGGACACCGTCTAGGATGGGGACACCGTTTAGGATGGGGACACCGTCTAGGATGGGGACACCGTCAAGGATGGGGACACCGTTTAGGATGGGGACACCGTCTAGGATGGGGACACCGTTTAGGATGGGGACACCGTCTAGGATGGGGACACCGATGGGGACACTGTCTAGATGGGGACACTGCTTAGGATGGGGACACTGTCCAGGATGGGGACACTGTTTAGGATGGGGGACACCGTCAAGGATGGGGACACAGATGGGGGACACTGTTTAGGATGGGGACACCGTCTAGATGGGACACCGTCAAGGATGGGGACACTGTTTAGATGGGGACATCTAGATGGGGGACACTGTCAAGGATGGGGACACCGTCAAGGATGGGAAGCTTGGGATGGGGACACCTGTCTAGGATGGGGACACTGTCAAGGATGGGGACCGTTTGGATGGACACTGTTCAGGATGGGGACACTGTCAAGGATGGGGACACTGTCTAGATGGGGACACTGTCAAGGATGGGGACACCGTCTAGGATGGGGGACAAACTGTCTAGGATGGGGACACTGTCTAGGGATGGGACACCGTTTAGGATGGGGACACGTCTAGATGGGGACACCATCTAGGATGGGGACACCATCTAGGATGGGGACACCTAGATGGGGACAACGTCAAGGATGGGGACACCATCCAGGATGGGGACACCCAGGATGGGGGACACCGTTTAGATGGGGACACTGTAGGATGGGGGACAACCGTCAAGGATGGGGACACCATCTAGGATGGGGACACTGTCTAGATGGGGACACCATCTAGGGATGGGGACACATCCAGGATGGGGACACCGTCTAGATGGGGACACTGTTTAGGATGGGACAACCGTCAGATGGGGGACACCATCTAGGATGGGGGACACTGTTTAGATGGGGACACCGTTTAGGATGGGGGACACCATTCTAGGATGGGACACTGTCAGATGGGGGACACCGTCTAGATGGGGACACCATGTAGGATGGGGACACCGTCTAGGATGGGGACACCGTTTAGGATGGGGACAACCGTCAAGGATGGGGACACCATCTAGGATGGGGACACCGTCTAGGATGGGGACACCGTCTAGGATGGGGACACCGTTTAGGATGGGGACACCGTTTAGGATGGGGACACCGTTTAGGATAAGGACACCATCTAGGACACCAGCAGTTCTCCCTCACTCGGTAAAGACAAGGTTAAAATATCACCAACCCTTGTCCCTCCTCCTAAGTTTGGACTCACTTAAGGAACTGTCCAGCCCAAGTGGTAAACATGTCCGGGGCCAGTTATTGAAACTTAAGTGAGGTGAGTGACGGTGCTATGATGATCACCTGAAGATTAGCACCTTCCTCACACCTATTCCACCTGATTATTAAGCACCCTAAAGCTACCTGTGGGGGGGGGTGGTGGAGGGTGGTTGGGTTGGGTGGACTAGGATAGGTTAGCATAGGGTTAGGTTTGTAAAGGTTAGGCGACGTTGGGTTAAGTTAGGTTAGCCTGAGGTTAGGTTAGCATTAGGTTAGGTTAGTATTAGGTTAGGTTAGGTTAGCATTTGCGTGTTTAATCATCAGGTTATAAAAAGCTGGGGTGGCTAATCTTCAGGTGATCTAAATACGAAAACAAATATCCTATGTTGAGTCAAAATACTTGTATACGTTAACATTATCCTCAGTATGTTAAAATTACCACTAATGAAACGACTTAACACCACAACCTTCAGTATATTAACATGACCCTTTTAATCACAGGACGGACTTGAGATGTCACCGTTCATCCTGGAAAAAGATAAACGGCTGACCGAGCTTATTGCTGTTCGTCCTTGGGGAAAAACGAGTAACGAGTAGCTTGTCAACTCTCGGTCGTCCTTGAAAGTGTAATATGTTGTTAAACTTGTTCTTGTTCGTCCTTTAGAAAAAAATTAACCGACCTGCGTCTCACTAGTCCTGGGGAAAATAACGAATGGGGAAGGTTTATTCTTCCTGGGAAAAATAACGAACGGGATAGGTTTTCTAATCATCCTTGGAAAAAAAAAGTATTTAACCGAGCAGCTTCTCACTCGTCCTGGGAAAAATAACGAGTGATGGAGCTTGTCCGTGATCATACTGGGGAAAATAATAATGTACTCACGAAGAGGATCCATGACTCGTTCACCTCCGGCACCTTACCTGTAGAGAGAGAGAGAGACACCTGTGTTACCTTTCTTGATTAATTAATACTAACAAGAATATATTACACGATTATTAATAAACATAATACAGGTATATATTCTGGGGTCACCTGGAGATTCGCCCCTCTAGATTGTTTTACCTGATGATTCAATACCTTAGGGGTGAGGTGAGGTTAGGTGACGTGACGTGACGTGAGGTGAGGTGACGTGAGGTGAGGTTGGGTTGGGTTAGGATAGATTAGGTTAAGTTAGGTTGGATTAGGTTATGTTTGGTTAGTTTAGGTTAAGTTTACGTTAGGTTAATTAGGTAAAGTTAGGTTAAGGTATTTTTAGGTTTAGGTAGCTTCAGGTTATGTTAGGTTAAGTTAGGTCAGGTTTGGTTAGGTTAGGTTATGGTAGGGTAGGTTAGGTTAGGTTAGGTTAGGGTACCGTTAGGTTAGATTAGGTTGGAATTAAGGTCTCTAATCTTCTTATGAAACAATCTCGGGGTGACTGACCTTCGGGTGATCATTACACACTGGCCCCATCACCGGTAAATAATACAGCCAAGACTCTCACTGTGCCAACTCCTTCACCTACTAAGTCAACTCGTGGTTGTGCTTAACGTAGACTTAAACTCGGGTTATGAGCCCGACTTTCAGAAACCACTTAACCCTGTGAGTACAATAGCATTAACCTTGAGTACGATAATTTAACCCTAGGAGTGTGATAGCATAAGTCTTGAGTACGATAATTTAATTCTTTGAGTTATGATGACAAACCTTGAGTAAGATAATTTAACCCTGTGAGTACGATAGCATTAACTTTGAGTACGACAATTTAACCCTATGAGTACGATAGCATTAACTTTGAGTACGATAATTTAACCCTATGAGTACGATAGCATATTCCTTGAGTACGATAGCATTAACCTTGAGTACGATTATTTAACCTTATGAGTACGATAGCATAAGCCTTCAATACGATAATTTAACCCTATGAGTACGATAGCATTAACCTAGAGTACGATAATTTTTCCCCATGAGTACGATAGCATATACCTTGAGAACGATAATTTAACCATATGAGTACGATAGCATTAACCTTGAGTACGATAATATTAACCTTGAATACGAAAACTTAATCCTTTGAGTATGATGATAAATCTTGAGTACGATAATTTAATCCCTTTAGTATGAAGACAAACCTTGAGTACGATAATTCATTCCTTTGAATACGATAGCATTAACCTTGAGTACGAGAACTTGATCCTTTGGGTATGATAACTTAACCCTTTGAGTGTAATACCTTAAACCTTTGAGTATCATAACTTAACACTGAGTACGATAACATAACCCATAAGTACGATAACTTAACCCCATAAGTACGATAACTTAACCCCATAAATACGATAACTTAACCCCATAAGTAAGATAACTTAACCCCATAAATACGATAACTTAACCCCATAAGTAAGATAACTTAACCCCATAAATACGATAATTTAACCCCATAAGTAAGATAACTTAACCCCATAAGTACGATAATTAATAGAGTTTACCAAATAAGAACAGAGTGAAAGGCGATCAGTAATTTTTCAGGGATAAAATACGGAAAAATACGGTAATATGCTGCAATATGAGGCAATTACACGGCAATACACGGTAATACACATCATCCAACAATATACTGCAACACACAACACACTATAACACACAGCAGCACAGCAACACACAGCAACACAAGGCAACACACTACAACACAGCAATACACAATAACACACTACAACACACAGCAACACACTACAACACACAGCAACACACAGCAACACAAGGCAACACACTACAACACACAGCAACACAAGGCAACACACTACAACACAGCAATACACAGCAACACACTACAACACACAGCAACACACTACGCCACAGCAACACACTACGCCACAGCAACACACAGACACACCTGGCCAGTCATAATCACCTAAGTTATGGCAACACTCCACAATACACAACAGCAACACACCAACACAGCAACACACTACACCACAGCAACACACAGACACACTCCGGCCAGTCATAAACACCTAAGTTATGGCAACACTCCACAATACACAACAGCAACACAGCAACACACTACAACACACAGCAACACACTACACCACAGCAACACACAGACACACTCCGGCCAGTCATAAACACCTAAGTTATGGCAACACTCCACAATACACAACAGCAACACAGCAACACACTACAACACACACCAACACACTACAACACCCAGCAACACACCAACACACAGCAACACACTACAACACACTCCAGCCAGTCCTAATCACCTAAGATACGCCAACACTTCACAATAATCTGGCAGCTGAGAATATCACTTTATGTTTTACCTTCCGAGGGGAGAATTACGCACAGATGGCATTCATTACCTACGCCTTAATCAATACGCAATTACCTGCACTACCTGAGAAAATGTATTAGTCTTTACCTGACATTTATCGAACTACCTGAAGATTAGGCACCCTAGTTTATTTTATCTTTATGGTTACCTGGGTTGGGTTGGGTTGGGTTGGGTTGGGTTGGGTTGGGTTGGGTTGGGTTGTATAGGTTATGCCATTTAGGTTATGTTAGAGTAGACTAGGTCAGGTTAGGTTAGATTAGGTCAGGTCAGGTTAGGTCAGGTTAGATTAGATTAGGTCAGGTCAGATTAGATTAGGTCAAGTCAGATTAGATTAGGTCAGGTTAGATTAGATTAGGTCAGGTCAGGTCAGGTCAGGTTAGGTTATTTAATCCCCAGGCGACTATACAATGATGCCTAATTTTCAGATAACCTCATTTATGGAACCAGTAAATAGTGTAAATTAGTACAGTAAAATGACAATCACAAAAAAAATATAAAAATAATTAAAAACTAAAAAAATACTCATGTTCAAGATTGTCAACATTGTATACCGAACACAGATCTAAACACATACCTGACATCATTAAACCCCATTCCCGAGATACCTGAGAAATTAATTATTGTGACATTACCT